GGGGAGCGAGCCCCTGACGGGGAGGACTGGGGTGGCTCTGCAGGCTCCTCAGGGTGGAAGCTCTCCTGCAACCCCCCGGTTGACCTCCCCTCCGGATGGCAGCCTGTGGCAAGTGCAGCCGGGCTGATGGCCGAGTGCTGTGATGTGCCGAGTGTGGGCACTCAGGGCACTCCAAGCCAGGATTGCTTTGCAAGCGGGGAACCCCTGAGAACTGTCTGTCCGGGGTGGGGGTCGGGTCCCTTTAAGCACAGCCCTCGGCTAGCCTGAGACAGCAGCTCGTTGACCTCCCCTCCGGATGGCAGCCTGTGGCAAGTGCAGCCGGGCTGATGGCCGAGTGCTGTGATGTGCCGAGTGTGGGCACTCAGGGCACTCCAAGCCAGGATTGCTTTGCAAGCGGGGAACCCCTGAGAACTGTCTGTCCGGGGTGGGGGTCGGGTCCCTTTAAGCACAGCCCTCGGCTAGCCTGAGACAGCAGCTCCACTCTCTAAGTCCTAATTTGATGCCCTGCCGGCACTGCTTCCGGCCATCCTTAACTTCGGTTCAGGGTCCACTCAATGTGGACATGCTAGTTCAAATTAGCAAAACGCTAATTCGAACTAGTTTTTAGGTCTAGATGCACTAGTTCGAATTAGCTTAGTTTGAATTAACTAATTCGAATTAAGTTAGTTCGAATTAGTGCTGTAGTGTAGACATACCCTTAATGACTAAGCATTGGACACAGTGGTGGAGGAAGAGAATGTTCTGTTTTGCTGGAGATTTCAGTGGTTCAACGTGCAGGTAGGGTGTGTTGACGATGAAACTGGAGGTGTAGTTTTTGCAGCTCAGGCAGACACACCTGCGCTAGCTCTGAGCAAGCTTGTGCGCTAAGAAAGCAGCACAGCTGCAGTGTGATTCAGGAGCGGGAGGAGGGGCTAGCCGCACTGATGCACTTCCATCATAAACACTAGGTAGGCAGTTGCAGCAGCTAGCCCCTTCCAGTGACCAAGTAGCTGTGGCTATGTTGCTATTTTTAGCTCACTAGCTCAGTCAGAGAATTACAAGTCCCAGCTCCAGTGAAGATGTATCCCCACGTTGGAATTTTCCCAGGATCCCAAGGGCTTTTTTGAGATTCACGGCTACGGGGTCATCAGAACCCCATATCTTCAGTGATGGGTGAAGGAAGATCCCAGTGGTTTCTGCTCCTTTCCAATGGAGGGAGGGCTTTCTCTGGAAAATGCTGGTTCCCAGGTGCTGGTGCAGGGCACAAGGACATATTGGTAGTGCATAGAAATGATGACTTAGCAAATGCAGCTGGGCTGTGATGAGCAGCTGGATGTCATCAGTGAGCAGCTGGGGAACTCCTCCTTACCTTGTAAGGATTCCTTTCAGTGTGAGCTTTGCCCTGGCTGTGCTGCCTATTGGGGAAGGAAGGGCCCCAGGTCTCAGATTCGTATGAGTGAGCTGGAGCTGTATCTCAGCATAGCCCTGGGGTCTGTGTGGCTCATTCCTTCCCCTCGCTCCCCTCTCTCATGCATTTCGCAGTGAACACATGAGCCTGTGGCTTCAAAGGGGCCAGGAGTTGGCCTGTTTGCAGCCATGGAGGGGCTCTAGTACAGCTCTAAGGGTCCTGCTCTGGGGGAGAGGGCTGAGTGGTCACATCCTGCTTTCCATTACCACGATGGTGGTGAGTTACTCAGAATTTCCACAGGTCAGGGCGGATTAGGACATGCAGAAGCCCTAACCTATGTCCAGTGTAAGAAGCCCCTTAGCAATGCCAAAAAATGTGTATTCTTCTACCAGAAAGGACAATGAAAACAGACATCATAAAGTTTTATATTTGCATACATACCGGTACATAGGTAAAAACTAGTAATTGTTTTGTATTTAGAGGCTCCTCATCATCTGAGGCCCTAAGCTGTATCTCATTTTGCTTGTGCACAGATCCGGCATGCCACTGGTGTAACTGGGGCCAGAGACCTCCTGGGGCTGCTCCGCAGGGCCTAAGCAATGGGCAGAAGGGGCAGAGGAATGTTGTCACTTGGACTCAGAAGGTTTGACTCTAGTTTTTATGGTTCTTCGGCCAGTCAGTGGCAGAATCAGTGATAGAATGGAGGAGACCTACTTTTTCCTCCCACCACTAGCCAGCATTGCCTGCTTGTGTGCCATCCTCGCAATTAGTCAAGAAGAACGGCTCTTGCACAAGAGGCTATTTTAGCGCAAAAACGGAGCCTCATTAATTATGCACGCTTTGCCTCATTTGCATATTTTTTGCGCAAAACGGGGGCAGTGTAGACATAGACTTACTGTGGAAATGGGGAACCTGGTTTTTCAGAGCCATTGAGCACCAGCAATGCCACACTTCTGGAATCTGACCTCACTGGTTTCCACCCTCTCCAGCCACTGGGTATGGCCTCTTGTGTGTTTCATTACCCCTGAGCACACATTGCATCTCTGAGCACAAGCTGCACACGGGATTCTTGCATTCTGGGAAGTCTCCTCATCCAGCTATGGCAGGACTGGGGCAATAACTTCCCTAGTGTCTTTTCCCAACTAGTGCAAGGCTGACCAAGTGGGCCTAGGTGCTCACAGGTGAGTGGATGACGCTGTTAAGTTGCTGGCATCCCTTGACACTGCTGCTGTCACCTCCTCTGAGTCCTATTGCCAGCCTTCCCTCTTGCATAGGGCATGTGGAACAAGCAAACGCCCAGGCAATATTCTCTGAGGCTCTCAGCAACACGGACCTCAAACTGTGGGTCAGGACCAGTGTTCCCTGTAAGGTGGGCGCTGCTCAGGAGAGATTCCAACGCTGCCCAACTGATTTGCAGAGCGCCCACAGCTATATCGGTTGTTTCTATTGGTTGTGCACATTCACACATGCCTCGATGCACATCAAACGTATTCCACATATGGATGGGAAAGAGGAGAGGGAACACTGGTCAGGAGTCAAGACCCCAGAGTAGGTCAGGACCCCATTTTAATGGGATCGCCAGGACTGCTGTTCGACTTGCTGAATCCTGATCCTCAGCTCCCAGGGCCAAAGCCCGAGGGTTACAGTTTAGGGCAGTGGGGATCAGGCATCAGCTCCCACCTTGGGATCATGTAGCAATTATTTTGTCAGAAGTGGGTCATGGTGCAATGAAGTTTGAAAAGCCTGACCTAGCAGGACAGCCTGCCCTTGGTGTAGCATCACCATACCTGCCTCACACTACTCACCGCCATGCCGAAGCAAAGCAAAGTCACTGGGAGACAATCCCACTTAGACAAGGGCTGAATTTGACCTGTTCACTTCCTCTGCAGGCTTTGCAATGATGTCCCTCTCCCCAGTGCTTGGAGGCTGCCAGGTTCCCTACTAACAGCCTGTGCCTCTGTCCCCTTCAAAGGGGACAGAGTACATCTCACCCTCTCGTAATATGACATGGGTTATCAATCCCGTGGTCGCAGCTCTAGATGGAGCCTGGCTCTGGAACTAGATGGAGGCTGGTTTTGCTGTTGCATATCTGGGGCTGGTGAGGTCTCCTCTGTTTTGTTATGAATCCTGTTTGTCTCCCAGGCATCCTTTACCTTCTCTTCTGACTGACTTTGACTCCCTCTCTTTCTCTGCTTCTGAGGTTAGGGAAGTGATTTAAAAAAAATTTTTTTTGGTATTTAAACTGGTTTAGCGGCTGCAGCAGTGAGCGTTCCTGATAAACAGCCTGGGAGATCCAGAGAATAATCTCTCGGCTTGGTGACGGCAGAAGCGCATATCAGAGCTGCTGGCAGCCAGGCAAAAAGCTGCCCTCATCTCTAGTGTGTGCTATCAGCCCAGGGAAGGGGGGAAAATCACCTCAGCCCTTAATCAAGAATTTGAAATCCCAGCTAGTCTACACCATTCATTTCCACAGGCTCACAGGGCTGGTTTCAGTCTTAAAAAGAAAGGAAGATAATTTCCTAACCCTTCTCCCCTGAACATTTCACTCTGCCTGAGCTGGGGTGTTGAGGGGGGTGCCATTTGGGAGGTGTTTTGCATAGATGTACCCTCCACCTCCTACCCCGAGATTTGCTTTGTGCCATACCCCTTGTGGTGAGGGAAGAGGCTTACTTGGGGTGGGGGAGGGAAATAAGCGCCTGAAAGGCAAATAAGGTTTGGGGACAGGAGCAGACCTGATTAGTGTGATTGATTGGGGGGGGAGGAGGGGCGGGAGTCAGGTGGGCAGCATTGTTTCTAGGGTTGGTCAGTCAGTGCTCCCTGACTCTCCAATGCCCTCACAGCCAGGCAGGCTTCCAGCTGCCCTGGTGTATGACAGGGCCTCCTTCTCTGGTACTGGGAAGACACATTCAATGTTTATACTTCCCTCTAAGAGAAGCCACCTCACCAAGCCCCACTAGCTCGCGGAAGTAACACACACTGAGGGGGAGAATGGAGGGGAAAGAGATAAGGCCCCCGTCCTGGGGGGGGGGGGGCAAAGG